TCACTCTATTCTTTATTATTGGATCTACACTTATTCTTATTTTAACCTTGATAATTAGTAATCGTATGCACAAATAGACGCAGTATACAATGAGCACCAATTACTGCATAATGCTATTAGAATTTAGAGATAAAAAGGAACAACAAATGAGAGATTTTTTTAGCTAACCTACAATGCAAATAAATTTCATAATCAATGAGAATAGGCATGGGCATAGTCTAAAACTCAACTAAAACTATCTTATGAAAAAATGCCCTTAAACTGGCTAAATCATTAGTCTTCGTGTTCACACTTTTCAAATAATAATTAAGATAATACAAGATCAGAAACAATGAATCTCTTTATTATGGGTTAATTATAAATTTAGTGTATCAACAGAAAATATTTGCAATCAGGTGTTTAAACCCCAAAAAATTTTCAATCAGGTGTCTCCGGCTTACGTGGCAAGCCGGAAATATAAATAGGACGACAAGTAATGCTGATTTGGATTTTTAAACTCAAACCCATTAAAACCAAGAGCAAATCAATAATTGTTTGGTTCAGATTGAATCCAATCGAGGTGAACCAAACCAAGGTATATAATCATGTTTAGGGTTTCAAGAGAGGTCCAGATCTCCTCTTTGCAGCGCCACCGCCTTCCTATTCCACTTTCTTTCCGGCGATGTCAATGTGGTGCGGTTGGACCTCTCCCTTTATCCCTCCTCGATTTCAATTTTCTAGTCATTGGTTGTCTTTTTCTCTTACAGCCCAAATAAAAGTCTTAAACAAAAACATCAAATCCTCCAAATACACAGCACATCCAAACCTTAAAATATGCTCTCTACCTTCTGTTTCCTAACATGCATTATTTTAAGAACATAAGTCTAATCTAAGTTGTTTGTTCATCCTTTATCTCTTTGGTCAAAAAATAATTAGTATAAATCATTTTTGTATTTCTTTCTTCAAGAACAATAATATGCAAAAAAGAAATGCCTATTAAAGAAACATAGGCAAATCATATTTCAGATCACATATTGGATTGGATAGAAGATACAGTACCATTCCTACCATCATTCTCGGATGATCCATATAGCTCAGATGACATCAATAACTATCATCAATTGTGGAATCAAATAGAAGAACTTTGTCAAGATCCACTCGAAACTGATACTAATCTCATTGCCATAACCACCAGCATCAACGATAAACTAACAGAAGAAAGCAATCCCACCATTACCAGTAATCCACAACCTTCGGACTCGTCAAGAAAACAAGGGCACCAGGTGACTCATTACAAAATCATCAATAGAAAAAGAAACAGAGCCATCAGGCAGTCAAGTGAGGCTGAGGCTAGTGAAAGGATGGTAGCCGTAGGATCAAATCCATTGAGCTTTTGGGCAAGCCAACAGTCGATATTGAAGCTGACATGGGCTAGAACAATTAATAGTAAAATGCTAGGTCAAATAGCAATATCCATGTCAGCAAAAAAATCCATGTTAGCGTAACATCTCTGTCCTATTTGTATTTTCGGCTTGCCACGTAAACTGGAGACACCAGATTGAAAATTTTTTTTGGAGTTTTTCGTTGAGACACCAAAATAGAAAATTTTTGAAAGTTAAAATACTAAATTTATAATTAACCCCTTTATTATATAGAGATTCTTTTTGTAATGTTTTTTTGAAATTCATTATTTTGACACAAATATTGTTGGTTTTTATAAAGAAACAATTTGAGAAGGTAGATGCAATTTGTCATGTTTTTTTATTTTTTGGTGTTCCTAATTTATATATTGATTAATTTAAAACATTAAAAAATCTCATAAGAGAAAATTGAATTATTTGGATTATGGAGGACTAATGGTCGTAAAAATATATAGTTATGAGGTATACATTCCAATTTCTTTTCAACAATTTCCAAAAAAATTTTTGAATTGGATCCTAAGAAGATGAATGCACTAACTATAAATATGATGTGACAAATAGACCAATTTTAGCTTGACTTGGGTTAAAAGCATGAAATGTATTTGTACGATCATCATCTTCAAATAAAGTATTTTCTACAGTAACACCATATAATATGTTACACCTTACATCAGAAACATAGCTAGAAATTTTAGTGAGAGGTCCAATTAAAATATATATTTCACAAAAATAATCTACATAAAACAAATAAACGATTACAATTAAATTATAATAATCATCGCCTGTTTTTGAATGATTGATATGTATTTAATAATAATTTTATTGTTAATACTTATAAATACATCTCTTTCAATGTGAGTTACCTAAATAATTATTTAGTAGTTCATCTCCCATTTTATCACGAAGCAAACTTTTGACAAATTTCATCATGGAAAAACTCTTTCACCGTGATTGTAGCAATCAGCAAAATTAACGATATAATTTGATTAACAAATATACCAAAGGAAAAATAATATAAGAATATACTTTCTTGTAGCAATCATTTTCTTAGTAAGGCCTCCAAATCCACTCACTCCAGATAAAATATTATCCACACATGTTGAAAATAAAGTTTTCAAGTTGAGATTCAAGTTCAATCAAAGCAATAGGAAAAAACTCAAATGGATGAAACTTTGCAAGTTAAATCAATTTGCTTATGAAATGTAGAAAATAAGTCTTTTAGGATCAAGTCATGCCATACATAAAAGTAAATTTATATTAACTTCATCAAATCGATTATTAGGTTCTTGAAACTATATGTCAATCATAAAATAATATAGCTCAATGCGATAGTGATGAAGATTTGTTATTTTCTTCACTTCTACACCTTGATCTCCCTCTAACTATATAGATATCCTCCATTTTTGTTACATTTATATTATATTTCCTACAAATTCCAACACTTCTTTCAATAAAGATTCTTAACCATCATCTCTAATTACTTGCAAACGACATTTTGACGTTTTAACCAAATCGATAGCATTTCACTATATCTTATCGCTCTTCTATAAAATTTGGGATAACTCATTATGATTCCAAAATCTAATTCTAATAAAATTTAATACAAAGACAAATTCAAATCGATTCATAATATATGTCAAATCAATTACTTCAACCCTTTATGAACCGTGACTCCCATTTTTTCTAATATACTCAAGAATATTATATGATAGAAGAAAATAAATGCATCAAATTAATTAATGTATCATAATGAGAGTACCTCCTAATATCTTCAATATCATTTCTTGATTCGAGCCTTGTCTAGCTTTATTAAACATGATATAATTTCTTTAATTACTTTCTCTATTTGCTTTTCTCGAAGCATATACCTCTGTTTACAAGATCCTCCGATAATATTGCACAAACAAGAAACATTATTGAAAAATAAGCATACATTAAAATGCTCTTTAGCAACACCAACAAATGTGAATTAGAGTTTATGGACAAAACAATGGATGTAATAAGCACTGAATTTTCCTTCAAAATCGATCTTTTAAAGCCATGAAATTCACCTCACATGTTACTAGCTCTATAGCCTTGACCTCTCAAACTAGATATACTCAAGCCACAAGTAGAGAATAGAGACTTAGTATCTTTTTGAATTGATGTTGAACTTGTATCACGTACATACACAAGACTAATAAATCTCTCAATGGCACATCCAAATATATTGACATATATCGTATGATAACTCCTATTTACTTTTTAAATGATACATCTCAACATTCATCAACTAAAATAAAGAACAAATTATTGACCATATCTAACATGGTAGCCTTTGTTATCTCAAATGCAGCTACATTAATGATGATATCTTTTTGAATATCAGGCGATATGAGTTTGAGGTTTTCAAGAGCATTCAGCCCAATAAACAATCCACCCATATTTCTTTAGCCTACAAAGGTTTAAGAGAAGACAAAATGAGATGATGCCCTTCCAAAAAATTGAAGTTGTTAGTTGCCGCCAGGTTGAAATCTAAAAAACCATATTGGCAATTTAATTTTTCGTGGAGGTAACCCAACTTCTTTATCTAGCGACTGGGTAAAATAAAAAGTTCAATATGAGAATGAGAAAATTTTAGGCCTTCTTGTCTTTAAATTGATTTTAGTTAAAAGATCAATCAATCGAAAAACATTTGAGAAAGCTCTTTTTAATCTTTTAAAGGCATTTTGAAATTGAAGTAAAATTGATAAAAAAGATCAAAATAAAATGTAATTAAAAAAGCCTGCAAAATTCAAGGTACTTTGATATAATAGGCTATCAAAAGCAGTATTATTAAGGCTCCATTTGGTATGAACAAATTCAAAATATATAATTCATTTGTGAATGGATTTCATATTTGTCATGATTAATTCAAAACATTTAATTCAATTGAATTCCACATAATCATGTATGGAATAAATTCATAATTGAAATTTTCTGTGCTTTTGTTTTCTAAAATATTCTTCAAATAGTAATTTTACAATAATAAATAATAAATACCAATTATATTTATGTTATGCTATATAATTTTTTTATATTTTTACTAAAATAAATATATAAAATAAAAAATAATATTAATAAAATTATTGCATTTTTTTTTTTGATAATAAAATTATTGCATTTAATTTAGTGATGAACGTATATTTAACTTGAACCCTATACTCAATAGTAAAAAAATGCTAAGAAATATTAAAATAGAATATGAAAAATGTTAAAATAAAAAACAAAATAATAAGAAAATATTTTTCTAAAAATATAAAATTTTTAAATGGTTTTGATCAAATTTAATAAACTAAATAAGCTAATAAGTAAAAAATTGAAAAATTGACTTTGTAAAAAAATGGTAGTTTCATCGTAAACAGTTGGATTATTTAGTTTTGTGAAATTCATTTAAAAATTCCACTTATTTTTATAGAATTTAGTTTAATTATATTCAATTCTATGAAATTGAAGTTCTAGAATTGAAATCTACATTTTTTCATTCCAAATACAAAAATATAAATTTCTAAATGAATTCCATAAAATTTTATAAAATTCATTTGTTCAAAACAGAGGGGGAAATGTCCAAATTGAGCTCCATTCACTTGGAATCAGCTTAGATAATTTTCTGTAATGCCATGGAAGGCAATGCCTCAAATTCATTTTCAATGTGTACAATAAAATGAGAGAATTTCCCATCAGACAACAATGTATAATTCAGTAGCCAATACAGCTTACAAATAACTTGCGTATGAACTTCTATGAAGTAAAGGACTAAAATGTCCCAATCAGGCACAGCATAATCCAATGGGTTTTTGGAGCCAAAAAAGTTTATAGAAACTCTATACAGTATTTCTGAAGATCAACCTATCTAATACCAACACTCGAGAAACTTTTCACAGGAAGAAAAACCTGAACCAAAAACCTTCGAATCTCTTTGACGCGGTAAGGTATTCTTACAAATGTAGACCAAAAGCCGGTCCAAAAACTTCAAATCATTGCCTGTGCAACTTGGATCATCGTATGCGCAATTTGTATTTCAACCTCTAGTCTGTTAAATTGCTAATCTTTTGTAACCCATCGGCGTCCCCTGATCTGATACCCACCATAGCTTTGATCACTGCTTTCTCCCCCACTCTCTCCACTGGTATACCCTGATTTACGGCGGTGCTTCTTTCCCTTGGCTACTCCACTGTCACTAAAGCTCCCATTTAAGAGGGGATCATCTATCCCACGAATCACCCTCCGGGTGGATGAAGATGTGGCTATGCAACTGTCATCCTTTGTTCTTTTCTTATCTTTGTCATGTCTCTTTATGTTTTGAGAGATCTTATGCAATTTCTCATTGAACTTTGTAATTCCCTTTTCCACAGGCTCCACTGCTTGGTTAACAGTAAACTTCACATCTTTCACAATCTGCATAAAAGATGGACATAAGACTTGGCCTCTAAAAAACAGAGCAATAAATTATTTTAAAGAAGGGAAAATGATGTAGCTAGGTAAGCATAACTCTAAATGGTTTGCAGATTGTAGAATACATGAGAAAATATTGAAAGGAGACAAAAGAAAGAGATTAAGACCAACCAAATAGGCCAAATTTCTGGAACACCACCAGAATGGGTTTTTAGCAAATGGGAATTCTGCCACTACGCTGAACATTACGTCCCCTATTTTATGGCACGAAATTCTATGTTTGTAGTGGAATTAGGTTTCAAACATAAATCCAAATAGAACTAGGTCTAGATCATAAATCCTAATAGAGCTAGATTTTAACCCTTCTAAATTAAAATTATAATTTTGAATCTCCATTATAAACTGCCAAAAATTTCTGAGCAACATTCAACATAATAGTACTTTAGACACTATCAGATGACCAGTAATAAATACTTTAGGCATCGAATATTTTTCAGTTTTATTGTTTACTGACCAGTAATACAGATACTCAACTACTTATAGCTCTTGTCTGAATTGTCATTGTTATTGTTTAAGTTTCCCGTTAATGACTACGCCACCGCTACAGCCAATAACTCTTACTATTGTCTTCACCACTGACAATACATCAAAGACCACATCAACATTCGCAAACTAACCCATCAACTGCTAACATAACAATCACCATAGTCAACGGAAAATTTTTAAAAACTCAGGAAAAGAACATTTCTTTTCAATGCCTCTTCACAATAGTTTTGCACAACGGAATATGAAAAAAAATTCAAAATGTAATCAATAAGTCCAATAGCAAGAGATGTTTTCAGCAACAAAATCAAAAAGATATTAGTAGCTATGGAAATGTCAATGGTGAGAAGAACCCTTACGACTTGTTTCTACACATAAATGATGTCTCCCTATGAGACATAGACATTTACACTATGATAGGTTATTCTTAAAAAATTAGCAAACATGGGAGGGAAACATGCATTTACGTATGTATGTATGTATTCCATTTCAAATATAATTCACATATATCAGAAGAGCGTCTACATGGACACTTCACCAAAACAAAATTGCTGTTACTTCCTAGCAACACAAACAATGGGAGAAATCAAATGATAAAAGTAGTTGATTGGGACCAAGTTTTCCCTTTCAAAAAAAATAAATAAATAAATAAATAAAAAACTGCCGAACTAGAACTTTTTCAAATATTTCATTTAGTAAGCTCAAGAATTTAGACTCATGAAAAAATGCATGAAAGAATCAAATTTACTTTGTGAAAGAAAAGAAAGTTATAGGACGTGGACTTCCCTTTGACCAATCAACATCCTCAATCATAAGTAACCTACAGGGGATATGAGATAAATTTACCTTAACATAATATTCAATACTTTCCTAAACACAGCATTATATTTGCAAATATTCTTCTTAAAATTGTTGCTGAATAGGAAAAAAAAAAAAAAAAAAAAAATATGCTGTAATAGGAAAAAAAAGGAAAAAAAAAAAAAACTCTAAGTACTCTCACCAGAAAAAAAATAATAGCAGAATAAGAACTTACATAACCAATACCTACGCCTAACAAAACATCCACCGAACCACTTGTCTTTGATGGTGCATTGCACCCTCTTGATACTATCCAATGTCAGCTTGAGGAGCCGTAAAACTTAGTGGGTCTTTCACAAAAAAAAAAAAAAAAAAAAAAAATCTAGCACTTCACAGAAAAAAAGAGAAAGAACTTACATAACCACTACCGCCAACAACAACATCCCGAACACTTTCTTTGATGGTCATTCCACTCTTGACATCAATGTCAGGCTGAGGGAGCCGTAACTTAGTGGGTCTTTCACTATCTCTAACTTCATCTGGATCTAGAGGGCAATCAACAGATGCATAATCTCCAAGAACTGAAACACTTCCAGGAATGCGGTCACCCATCAGCTCATAAGGCTTTGAAGGGAACACATAAAGATGAACAACAGAAGCAATGAACATCTGTGCTGGATGAATAAAAATAGATCTGTTATACTTTAATTGATTGAATGAGAATTGCAGCAGTTACAAATATATTTGCAGAAATCCAAATGATGGACATCACTTTCATTAGTACATTCGACAATACACAACTGAATAGGATTAAGTAACTTTAACCACTAAAAGTATCTGCAGCAAACCAAATTGGATGCCAAATGGTAATGCTAATTTGACACCTCTTAATTGGAAATCTGCTAATTGAGTTAAAGCCAAAAGATACTGCCCTTTGACCACCAATACATAAGAATAGAGGACTGATTATCTGCCTCCATAACCTAACCACATTTTATTTCAAAGTACTTGCACCAACAAAACAGTGCAGAGACAAATTTTAATTCTTTATACTGAAATGTCCTCTGAACTTATAGCGGCAAAATTCCATAACTTCATTCTTAAAGAATCAATTAGTTGACTCTTTCCAGTTTCCAATTTCTCAAGTCACCCTGCTATTCTCATCCACAGAATAATAGCAGGCTCCTCTCACCCAATTACATCATCTTAATTCAATAACTTGGACCAGGCTGCACCAACCCACGTCACAGAAACTGCACATTATAGTTCCCCATTCTCCATAAGCTCATCTTAAGTCCTAACAGCCAACATTCTGTAATTTTTATATAAGCACTACGCAACACATTATAGTTCCCTATTCTCCATAAGCCCAGAACATGCTATTCTCTTTAAGTAAGACATTAATCAATCATGGGAGAATCCAGAGTTGAAATCAGATAACAATGGAACAAATATCAATGACGAAGAAATCTGTTGTTCCATGGAGAATCAAACTACATAGTCATAACACTGAAATACACATTAATAATCACAATAAAGGTAGTCTGTCAACCGCAAAATAATGATCACACAAAGCCAAGATAGTTGTTTTAAAACTCACAATGAACTAAAAAAGATTAGGTGCATAATCCATGTTGATTATTTCTGATTCAGTTGATACAATGGAAGGTCCACCAATTCACACCTTATTTCTCTCTGTATAATCCTTTTTTTCTTTTTAACGGAATTACCCCTTTCTTCAAGCAGGATAACAATTCTTTTCAATACTAAGAAATGAAAAAAAAAAAAAAAAAGTGCCAATTATAAATAACCACAACAAAAAGCCTCTAAAGAAAAGCAGTTTATGAACAAAAACGAAAAGAATAATAATGCCTTGTTCTAGTAAGATACTTTCAGGAAGAGATCATTGCGCATGAAAAGACCTATACCTCCATACAAATGATGAAGTCCTGGACACTTGACTTAAGTTGCAACCCTTGAGCTATAGGACTTTTGAACAACCCAAGGGAGTAGAGAAGAGCAATTGCCACTCCTTGCCACCAAGTCAAAAACACAATTGATTTAAATGTCAGGAACTTGTACAATGGTTTTATATGTGCCAATTCATCCTTTGTGGCAGTGTAAAACTGAACTAAACAGTACAAAGCCCATGATTGGCTGAAATTTAGAACCACGGCCATGTAAGGATACCTACAAAATAAGGAATGTAAAGCAATTAGAAACATCATAAGAGAGAGAGAGAGAGAGAGAGGAAGGATAAGAAGCAGCTAGAAACAAGAAAATTTACTGTATAGAAAGAAGACATGAATGGACTTTTATGTAATGGTTTCAAAGGATTCAGAAATTTTCTTGATTGAGGAACATCATCAAAAAATAGAAATAAAACAGTTATAAAAAGTGGATCCACTATGAGAAAGTTAGACTAAAAAAATTCAGTCTACATATTCTTCCATAGCTGATAGCACATTCATATGACCGCTTATTAAAGAGCCAATCTAGCATCAGACATCAACAAAAGCTGACTTAAAAAATATCAAAAGAGACTCTCAACTGCTATATCTGGAAGCCTGCAACAAATGTAACATCTGTAATCAGTCTTTTAGTATTATTATACAATGGTTTAAAGATTGAGTCTACAATTAGCACTCACACCAAAATAGTTTCTTTTTTATTTCCATTCCAGGGATAATAATCTTTTTTTTTTTTCAAAAAGCAAATAAAAACTGATAAAGACGCCAACTCTCTTATGAAGATTGGAATGGAAAATATCTGTCATGATTCAGCACACAAGATGATGTAGGAGCCACAGTGAAAAATCTCTAATTTACCTCAGCCAATTGCAAGAATATTCCAGCCCCGCAAACCAGATTCAGTGCTATATTGACTGCTGTCTGTTTTAACCGACAATATATAAGCGCTTTGTCAATCTTACTAATATAGCAGACTTCTGCGTTCAACCACTAGTTTCATCACCATTCTTTTTTCTAACTCCAACAATATGTGATAAAAAGCATTCTCAAATTTCTGCCCAAGGACTTTCCATGTCAAATATAGAAAAGGAGTGGCGAAACATAACAGCATATACACCTCTAATTGTGCTTATCTAGCGATGTCACATTTTTCCATGGTTTTGAACACCTACTCAACCAAATTAATGCCATGCCCTAAGCACTTCTCACATCTTATGCTAGATGCTTTTTTTCATTACTAACTTTGACATTTCTTTTACTCAATGAGACACATAAATACAGATACTGATTATACATCCACATGGAACTACCACTTAAGGGACAAATGTAACTGTACTCTATTCCCAAGTAATTAGATTGACACATAAGAAAGAGAAGAAAAACCTTGCCCATGTTCAAACAAAAAAAGAAGGCAAAAAAAAAAAGGTGATATAACAACAACAATTATTAAGCTTTATTAACAAACTAGCTAGAGAGAGGAAATGATGATATCATCAGAAATTGCTACAAGCAATGAATACATAATGAGATAGAAGAGCAGAGGATGTGTCAATGCACACAAGAACAAACTCAAGAAAGTTGAGGTTTAGAATTTATTTCAGAAATTAAATAATATTGTCTGGTTCTTCTACATTTATGTCTATTTAAATAAATTAGCTACTAGTCCAATATTTTAAGTCTCAAGGGTATTTTTATAAAGCTCACCTTTGCTGGAAAATATATCTAGATATCCTTAGGAGTCTTTACTTTTTATTTTGAGGTCTTATTTACTAGAGTCCTTGATACAGAACCCCAGGAATTGCGTCTTGACTCCCCAAATTAGATTTGATAAATAAAATCTAAATCCCAAATTAGAAACCCTAATTCCCAAATTAGGAATTTCTTCTTGGATGGAATTGTGGATCCTAACCCAGTACTCAACTAGAAGTACGAACTAAAGATATCAAGGTAATAGAAAGAACGTCATAAAGATTAATTATCTTTGATAAGTTTGAAAACAAGTTCAATGAAGAACCAAAGAAAATTCACCTCTCTTGAATTTGAATGCATAAAAAGCATAAACTGAAATCTATCTCAGCGCATCATACAAAACAGAAAACTAAGTATTTATAAGCTAAGAAACCCTACAAAACTAAACAAAACATAAAGCCCAATTCAATAGGTCCAATTATGCTAATTAAAATATAAAACTAAATAAAATACCCAAGGCCCATATGTTTGGATCATGTTAATTATCCTTGGATCTTCTTTTAAGTATATCTCTTCATCACCATGAACTTATTGATTTCCATTATTGGACATGCATCATATCCCCTTTCTTGGAAAGGATTTATCCTTAAATCCGAATCTTTATTGTTCCATAAGTATGTTGGTATATCCCTTCCTTCAAGTGCAACTAGATCAACGCATACTCCTGGATCAAATGGAAAGTTCTTGAATTCCTTACCTTGCATAGGATAAGATTGAAAAGAGTATAGTATCATCTCTCTTAGCCAATAGAAGTGTTCTCCTTTTAGTTACAAAAACTTCATTTTTGTTAAGGATTAGTTGTAAATAGAGTTCTATTAGGAGTTAGATTCCTAATTAGTTTATGATTTGTATTCCTAAATAGCTAGGTAGAAGTGCACACTAGATCAACGCATACTCCTGGATCAAATAGGAAAGTTCTTGAGATTCCTGTACCTTGCATAGGATAGATTGAAAGAGTATAGTATTCATCTCTTCTTAGCCAATAGAAAGTTGTTCTCCTTTTAGTTACCAAAACTTTCATTCTTGTTAAAGAGGACTAGTTGTAAAATAGAAGTTCTATTAGGAGTTTAGATCCTAATTAGTTTATGACTTTTGTAATTCCTAAATAGCAGGTAGCATAGGATTCCCTGCGTAATATTACCTTTAGACTATGTTTAATCGATTTTGATGAGATACACGAAATACCAATTTACAAATAAATTCTCTCAACATGGGTATCAGAGCCTTCCATAAAAAATAAAAAAAAAAATAAAAAAAAAAAAAAAAAAAAAAAAAAAAAAAAAAACAGAGATTTCCCGAAACTTCCCTTACGAGAAGCCATTGCCACCCTAGGAAGCCTTTCTAGGGTTAGTATTTTGCCTCACCGCCCACCCCGGTATATTCTCCAGCCGCCGATCAGCGACTCCCCGGAATCTGGTCGCCGGATTCCAAGCGATTGGCCACCACTCGCCACCTCTTTCTTCCTGCTCTGGTTCACGCGCTGGCCCATGTCCAATGGTCTTTTTCACTCCGGTTCCTCTCTCCGATGTTGGCTTGAAGAGAGACATGCAACCCAGAGAGTTGCATCGTCATTCTTGGGCTTATTCAATAGGTTTGTTTGCTGCGATTCTGTTGCAGCTGTGTTGGGGTTAGTATTTTGCCTCACCGCCCACCCCAGGATATTCTCCAGCCGCCGATCAGCGACTCCCCAGAATCCGGTCGCCGGATTCCAAGCGAATGGCCACCACTCCCACCTCTTTCTTCCTGCCCTGGTTCACGCGCTGGCATGTCCAGTGGTCTTTTTCACTTCGGTTCCTCTCTCCGGCGTTGACTTGAAGAGAGACATGCAACCTAGTGAGTTGCATTGTCATTCTTGGGCTTATTCAATAGGTTTGTTTGCTGCGATTCTGTTGCAGCTGTGTCGGGCAGTCTTCTGCTACTGTTGTTGCTTTGATTATGGAAGCTTAAAACAGCCCTGTGAGTTGTTTTCTGGTTCGTGATTTTCTAGGATTCCCCATTTGTCCATTAGGGTTTTAGTACTGCACCTTGCATGCAGTTAACGGGTATTTCTGCTTTTGAAACTTCTCCCTTTGTCGGGAGAGCAGTGCAACCCCAGTGAGTGCTGCATCGTGTTCTTGGCCTTTAGTGGTTGGTCTCCGTTTGCCAGAGTTTCCTTTGCTGCGTTTCTAAGATCTGCTCTACTGGGCCTGTCCTCTTTGAGCCATGATTATGGAAGCTTTGAAAACAGCCCCTGCTGAGTTGCGTTCTGGTTCAGTGAGATTTGTTTCGAACACCTATGTTGTGTTTTGTCTTAATTTTCACTGCTGTGTACTACCTTTGTGTGGGGGATCTCGTATATTGCTTATAATGACAAGTGGGTTACTTATTAGCCTGACTATGGTTAATTTGTGCTTTTGCTGACACAGTAGAGTTTGTAACAAGTTGAGCACGATTAACAGTGCTATTGCTCCAACTTTGAGGGGAGTGTTACAGGATTAGTTGTAATGCGCTAAGAGTTTATTAACGCGAAGTTAGATCCTAATTATTATGATTTGTATCCTTAAATAGCTAGGTTAGCATAGATAAATAGCTAGGTAGCATAGGAATTCCTTATATATAGACTTATGTAATCGATTGATGAGATACACGAAATACAATTACAATAAATTCTCTCAACAATTTTTATTGAAGTACGTATCCTCTTTTTGCACTATTGAGTACCTGCTATAGGTTACAATAAAAAGGAGAACATTATCACAATTATCAGTAAATTTTACAACGATAATATTTTATCGATTGCACAAAAGTACTATGCAACTTCTTTTCAAGTATAGAATCAACTTCATGTGTAATTCTTTCAATAGACATCGATTCCTTTTGTAATTCGACCTTAGCTACAATAGAATTCTCTTCAACTAGTTGCATCTTTCCCATTTTCTCTTCAATTAATGGCTATAATTTACCCTTGATCAAAAACAAACTTTCCCTTTTTATTTTCTCCAACAAAAGATTATCAACTTGTACTTGTTGTTGACTAAGAGGTACTAAGGTTATTTTTCTTCAATCCTTCGTTCAAGAACAAGTCCTTTAATTTATCATGATTAGCAAACCTGTTAACATGTCATGGTCTTCCCAAAAGCAAGTGACTAGAACTCATTGGAGCCACATCACATAATATCTCATCTTTGTACCTTCCTACTGAACATGGAACAAGAACTTGTGTAGTCACCCTTACCTCACTTTTACCCGACTACCATGCCACTGTGATATCTTTATGGATGTGGTTGACTGGTAGTGTATAAAACTCCTCTATGTCAACCAATGTTATGTAAGTTATGTTTGACACAACTGCTCTTCATCAATAATAAACTTTACTTAATCTTTCATACTACTTATTTGAGAATGTAGTGTGGAAATTTCCTCACCCTCCTGCTCATCCATCATTATTTCCATAAGGCATTAGGAACATGCTCTTGTGCCTCCCTTTTGTCTAAGGTCAACTAAGTGCATGTCTTTGCCCGTCGCATCATCTTCCTTTCAAATCCACACAACATCTGTCTCGAACGGGTTGCTGGTATAGCTTGAAGTAATTAGAAAATCATCTGCTTTCTTTATGTCACTACTTTGTTATAACATGATTGATAAATGGACAAGAACCAAAACAATAGAATCAAAACGTGGTATATCAATGAAATGGGCACAAGCTATAATGTTCAAGTTGACAAAAGGAAACAAGAGTACGATTAATTGACATGCAAACAAGCGATGTATAACAGAGCATAACACGCTCAACTAGAGAAACTGAGAATGGAAGATGTGAATAGCGCATATAAGCAAGGAGGCAAATGAAAGCAAACGTGTTAAACATGATGATAAATGGACAAGAACCAAAACAAATAGAATCAAACGATATCAAGAAATATGGCAACAACAATTTTCAATTTTGACAAAAGAACAAGAGTAAGATTATTTGACATGCAAACAAGCATGTAAACACAAAACGAAAAGAAACGAAAGTAAATGGAAACAAGAAGGGAGCAAATGAAAGCAAACGGAAAAAAAAAAACAAAAACAAACGAAAGCAAACAGAATCCAATGAAACCAAGTGGAAGCAAATAGAGTTAAAAGAAAACAAACGGAATTAAACGAAAATAAAGGGAAGCAAACAGAATCAAATGAAAACAAATGGAAGCAAACGGAAACAAATGAAGCAAACAGAAATAAACAAATATAAACGAAAGCAAAATAAAGATAGATAGAACCTGATTTGAGCCAAAGCTCTGATACCAAATGATGCAAACACCTAGAATTGCGTAACACCCTAAATCAGATTTGATATGTAAACTCTAAATCCCAAATTAGGAATCCTATTTCCCAAATTAGAAATTTCTTCTTGGATGGAATTGCGGATCCTAACCAAATACTCAAGTAGAAGGATGAACCAAAGATACCAAGGTGAAAGAATGTACGCCATAAAGATTAATTATCTTTGATAAGTTCGAAAACAAGTTGAACGAAAAACCAAAGAAAATTTGCCTCTCTTGAATTCGATTGCATAAAAGCATAAGCTGAAATCCATCTCAATGTATCTTACAACACTTAAAACTAACTTTGATAAGCTAAGAAACCCTTAAGAACTAAATAAAACACAAAGTCCAATTCAAACAAGTCCAATTATGTTAATTAAAATATAAAACTAAATAAAAGACTCAAGGGCCGCATGTTTGGATCATTTTAATTAGCATTGGATCTTCTTTTAAGTCCATCTATTCATGATCACCATGAGCTTAATTGATTTCCATTACTAGACACGCATCAATCCTTGTTTGTTTTCTTTAGGTATCTAAATACTTAGGAGATTTAGGACTACTTTGAGTCTTTAAATACCTATGATTATAATGCTTATAATTCAATATTTTGTTATTGAATATAATACCAACAGCCATGCTTTTGGATTGGATTGTGTGATGCAATTCAACTAAGGTGTGATGCTTTTGGGACCTTGACAGCAATGGCTAAGGAAGTTTTAATTGTGAAGCTTAAACTCTTCATTTTACCATTCATAGTACCTAATTTACAAACAGCCCAGAAATTTCACTTCTTTGTCTAATTTTACTTCTCAATCCTAAAGCTAATTGTCCAACTATCTATTTTTCGGTAACCAAACATCATCAATATGAGTCCCACAAGCTGTCCTATGCTATATATGCATGTCTATGTATTACAAAAAGTCCACAAGGTATGATCTCTGACATGCCTCTATCAAAAGGAACAAGTTCAAAGAAATCTAATTAGTGATAAGAGAAAGTTAATATTATGCAAAAAAAAATAAAAAATAAAAAAATAAAAATAAAACAAGAGAATAATTAAGATCAGCTTACCCACATCCCCATTTAAACTCCCCTTCACAATATACACCAAAGGCTTCAAGAACCACTGCTAATACTGCACTCAGAGACTTGATAAGCATCTGACATAAAAACAATAACAATCTATCATTTTTTTTGTAATAGAAACGAAGCGACAACAAGAATATGAAATTTGGAAGCAAAAGATAAAATTTCTTGATAAGTGAACATACATATTGAACAATACCAAACTTGACAACTTGATAAAACCACTGACCAAGCTTCCATGGCTTCAAGATGAAGTTCATTGGAAAAGGATGCTTTACAACTCCCCTGTCAGAAACATGTTCTAGAAGGGGAGTCTTAGAACTTGCACGTCCTTGTCTTTCCATAAATTCGATAGTTCTTTGCTCTCCACCTTTAAACAAGAGCACAAAATTAAAAGCAATAACAATACTAGAACCAGCAGAAAACGAAAAATATATCTTGGGAAGCCAAAATAAAAGAAAACCTTGTCTTCATTTATGATAATAAATCCAAAGAACGAGTAACCATGTACTTTCAACCAACAATAATCGAGAATTACAGAGTAATAAGATCAGACACAAGCCTCTCATCCCAACACCCTACCCATCCAACTCCATCTTCTCTTTTATTCAAATAAAAAAGGGTAAAAGATGGAAAAAAATTTCCAACTTCAACATACAATGTTGAACAACAGCCTTCTAAACTATATAAACCAGGGATGGAACACAACCGGCACAGCATTGCAAGACATTTGATAATGCTCCAAATGTCTTTGTGCATGCAGAATCAGGAAACATAAAGAACTGCATTCAATACTCAGCATGCATACACATTAAGTAGAAAATATTTTCCCCAGCTAGGAATACCAATATTGGATCATACCCTTTGGCAGGATCTACAACTTGAAGTATCATGGATATGCTCTAATTTCTGCCCATTTGAAAAGAAAGATACTTTTGCATGTGGCATTATAAAATCAAATAATTTGGTTCAACAACAAATCCCCATGCAATCAGCTTATTGTTTAATCTACTTATTCTGTAATCTTGAAATTCAAACACAAATAAAATGATAGAAATTCCACAGCTTTTAGAATCCAACAACTTTGACAATCGAATATCTGATGCAGCAACATCAAGAAATTGCATGCATCTAAAACCCAAGTACTTTGACTTAACATAAGAGATTTTAGAAAGCAAATACACGTGTATCAGTTCCAGAAAAATAATTAAATCGAGCTATGAGGATTTTGAGAAAATCAGCAACAACTAAAAGAAAACAACAAAGTAGTCACAGAAAAAATACAATCAAAATATACAATAAGGAATACAGGGAATTTCAGATCAGAAACCTTCACAATAACAGCTCTCGTAAAGGACATACCCAAGCAAGCAACAAGATATCTTCCAAAGCAATACATAGCAAATGATTCATAGCAATCCCTTAGTATCGCAACATCCACACTTATCGAGGGATTCACCAGCGATGCAAACTGTTTAAAACACCAAGATTAGAAAGAGAACATACAACTTACAACTGCAAAATAAATCTTTAATGGAAATCTGAGACCAGTCTATTAATCAATCATCCCGGAATCCAATCCCAACTAATTTTACTAAAACAGTAAAAGATTTTTATTTCGACTAATTCAAAAAAAAAAAAAAAAAAAAAAAAAAAAATAAAATCTTTTAATGGAAAATCTTGAGACCAGTCTATTTAATCAATTCATCCCGGAAATCAAATCCCAACTAGATTTTACTAAACCTAGTAAAAAGATTTTTTATTTCGGACTTAAATTTCAAAAAAAAAAGAAAAAAAAAAAAAAAGAAGCACATCATGAATCAACTCCACCGATATCTTACCGGAATAGTAACAAGGAACCATAACGCATTAACCCCAATTAAAAACTATGTTGTTATTCCCTGAGCACTCAATAGAATATCAAAAAAAAAAAAAAAAAAAAAAAAAAAAAGAAGCACAATGAACAACTCACCGATTCTACGGAGTAACAAGGAACCATTAAGATAACCCCAATTAAAAACTTTTGTTCCTGAGACAAAATAATCAAAAGGTCAACTAACAAATAAATAAGCAAACTTGTTAATGATAACGTGAAAAACTAGCAGTAAAGAAGGGAAAGAAAAAAGAAGAAACTAACCTCAGGATTCTTGTATGCCGAAAGGTGCTCAAACAAAAGGTAAAATGACAAGGCAAGTGTTAGAATCACAAAAGCAACTCCAACCAAACTTGCCCATAATGGAGTTGAGTAGGCTAAGAGAGAACTGATAAGATCTTGAGAGTTCATCGGCTATGCTAACTTCTGAATCGTTGAAATCTACCCAGCATAATGAGAATTCCAATTCCAAAACAATACCATTGATTATATATGCCTGTTAAAAGAAAAACCACAAAAGCTTAATTGATTATAATTGTTTTAGAAACTTAAAAAAATTGTTCTTTTCTACAAAAATCAAAGTTAAATATCAAAAAATAAAGAACCCAATTACAGATTTGATCATCTGACATTTAAAAGAAAAACAGAGTCCAATTCAAATGAAAGCGAAGATTGATGCGCATAACTTACAGTTAGACAACCAGTTGATGCAGAATGTGGAAGAAAGACGGAGCTTCGACTTGGGACCCAATTAAAAACCAAGAAATCAACTGAGAATGGACTCAACGGGAAATATAAACAAAGGAACTTTATCGTCTACATTAAACTGTAGAGAAATCGTAGCCACCACTTCTTCATAGAGAAACAGGAGCTCTTGTGACGGGTCTGATCTGATCAACAGAGACAGGGTCTATGTTAATTGATACATGTCATCGCACTGTATCTGACCAATTGTATGCTGGATTCAAATTTTAAATCACTAAACAAATTTATCAATTTTAAATACCTAAACAAATTTAGTGCGTTGAAATAATCCACTTAATTTAGTATATTGGATTAAGACTCTATTAGAATTTTTTGAAGTCTGTTAAAATTCTATGATATTTAATTCAAATTCTTATAAATCTAATGATATTCAAAAATTGTTTTTTTTTTTTGAAAAGAATATTCAAAAAATCGTTGATTTACAAGAATTTTACAAAATTATTCATTGATTTTATTGAATTTTAGAGTGTTATGTATAAATAAGTGAGTCATTCACAAATTTACCGTCCAACGCAAATCCATTGTCCAATTCAAAGATTTCAAAAGTCTTTAAAAAACCTAATACACCCCTCAAGTGGAAAACAATGTTTATTAGATTAATTTTGAATTAATTCATATGCTGAAAATTTGATATTTTGATAAAAATTAATATTAATATTGTTGCAAATTTTTTCTGAATTAAATTGATTATTTTCTGAAATTTGTATGGTTGATTTCAATTAGATATTGATTTAATCAAATAAATATAATTGGAACAGCTTTAAAATAGTCGAAAAACTGATAAACTCTATCGTCGCTGTGGCCGGACCGCCAAACTCCGTGATCCACAGGCAATAGGCCTTGCATCAGGCCTGTTTCGATGTGCACCCCCTCCTTGCACGAGCTCCAATAGCCGACACAGGTCCTGGTTAGCGGTGGTTGATGGTTTTCAGTTGATGATTTTTCTAACGAGATGGATGTCCTTCAGTCAAGAGACAAGAAGGCCATGGTCTTCCAATCACGTCACAATTCTTCTGGAGGCACGGGATAGCCGAAAACGCTGGCCATTGCAGCCCTTTGAATGTCGCTGGGATAAGATTTTAACGAAGAAGAAAATGATTTTGGAGAAAATGAGACATTTTGCTTTTTGATCCCTCGTTGTCTTTTAATTTTTCAATTAGGTACAAAAACTTTTTATTTGTTAAATTAGGTCATGAAATTAACTAAAATTAGATATATAAAAATTATTGTAATTTCATCAAATTCAATTAAAATCTATAAAAAAAAAATCTCACAAATTCCATTAAACTTTATATAAATTCTAGTGGTTATGGACATCTTAAGAAATCATTCAATATTATCAAACTCAACAATTCTTTTAAAAATCTTGATAAAAAAATTATTGTAATTTCATCAAATTCAATTAAAATCTATAAAAAAAAAATCTCACAAATTCCATTAAACTTTATATAAATTCTAGTGGTTATGGACATCTTAAGAAATCATTCAATATTATCAAACTCAACAATTCTTTTAAAACCTAATACAATTCTAATCCAATACACCCCTTAGTTTCGAGAATATTTAATGTAACTTTTAAGTTTTTATTTTTTACTCTATTTTAACTTTTTATCAATTTTACCCAAATTTAAATTTTTTATAACAATAGCACCCTCAATTATAATTGAGTATAGAATGGCAAATAAAAAAGTACTTCTATCCATTTTGTAAGTATAATATCTTATTGTTGAATAAATAAAAAAATTTGTAATAAAATAAAATTTTCAAATATCATTTGAATATTAAATTATGTTCACATCTATTGGACGACACATTTATCTATCTACAATATATATAAAAATTACCGATAATAAACTTAGTGAAATTTTACAACTCCTAAACTATTCATTTAGTTAGATTTTTTTTAATGTATTTTAATTGGAAAATTTATTTGATTGAAGAAGTGCACATGGAATACATCTCGTGTTGAAAAATTCTTTTACATTATTTATTAGTATTTGTTACTTGTAACGTGTGAGTAACTTTTTAAATTTTTTGCTATTACATAGTTTATTATTTAATTCTCATGTTGTTCATGTTTATGTATAGAGTTTTCAAGGTTTTTATGGTCACGTCAGCTTATTCTTCATCCACTTCATTGACAAATAACATAATTGACATAAATTATTACTTGATAGAAGTTTTAGTCAAGATTAACAACATTAAATTAATTAATTTTATCAATTGAGATTTCCTATAATAGCATTAGATTAATTTAGAATCCCTAATACATCCATTTAGTTAGATTTTTTATGTATTTAAATTGGAGAAAGTATGTATATGTATATTTTTTATTTGATCTTGCATTGTTACTGTTCAATAATTTTTATAATTAATAGATTTTAATATTCTTAATTATATATTTTCATGTGATATTACTTTCTATAAGGTAAATCAAAAATTTTAATTCAAGTATTGAAAATAAAATTTAAAATTTTAATTAATTATGTTCTGAATTTTTTAAATATTGGTAAACACTTTACTATTAGACTCTATTAGTTAAACACAATGAAATTAAGATAAGATTTTTAAATATATTATTTCTCTTTGTTTTTTTTTTTTTTTTTTGGTAAACTCACTTTAACTATTAAGCACCTCTATTAGGTTAAACAACAATGACACCCATTAAGATAAGCATTTTAAAATATATTATTTCTCTTTGCTTTTTTTTTTTTTTTTTTTGCGAGATGATGGTTTATGGCTTATTTGCAACTATTTACATAGTATTATTTTTTTTTTTTTTTTTTTTTTTGGAGATGATGGTTTATGCTTATTTGAACTATTTACATATTATTGTATTTGACAAATATCATATAAAAAAAGTTTTTCCCTTTTTAATCTAATGAAATCTTATTAAAAAATATGCTATAAAAGTTTGAATTAATGAAAAAACAACTATTTAGACATATTTGCTATCATTTTCATTTTCAGTTTTCTATATAAAGATGAAATAATGAAAAAAAAATTCAAGAGCTCTCTTTTTATTCAATATATTATTATTTTTTTTAGAACTTATGAAATTTTATTTAATTTTTCTAACATTTAACTGGATGTATTTTTTTAGAAAAAAAATTTTAAATAGATATAAAGATAATAAGCCTTTGAAATTTCAAATTTCTATATATTTTTTTGAAATAAATATATAGGGCTTTTAAAATTTTAAATGGAGAAATAGAAATCTCATTTTCTTTTCAACTAGACGTTAGAGTGCAAAACATGTAACGAAAAAAGTATTCATAGTATAAATAAAATAATAAGTAATCATTATATTTATTTTATCTAAATAAAAATTCATACTTTAATATTATATACATAAAAAATTAAATGAGTTAAAATGAATATATAACGAATAAAGTCAACGTGCAATGCGCATCATAAAAGAACTATCTATCTATACCATAGATAAGTTCAAAAAAAAAAAAAAATCTAAAGAAATATCTATTTATACTATATATTAGTTCAAAACAAAATCTATCTATATTACATATAAACGTGGAAATAATGATATTTGGGATAACGTTCTTAATGAAATTTGAATATCCTAAAATAATTTTAGTAATTACCAATTAAAACATTATATTTCATTAGTGGATTGGATATAATTTATAAATATTATTTTTTAAAATAAATATATATAGATAATTAAGAATTTTAAAATTTTATTATCTTATCGTTCATTAGTGTACTTGGATGTATAATTTATAAAAATATTATTTTGTTAAAAGTAAATATAGATATAGACTTAATATAAGTGAATTAAAATTATTTAAGCTTTCTGTATCTTTATTCTTAATAAAAGTATATATATGAGTGAAAGAGATTAAAAAGAAATGCTATTTTGTAAATATAGTTAATTTAATTTTATATTGGAATGTATAAATTATTCAAAAATTAATCTTTATTTTAGAAGGATAGTAAAATAGAAAAGAAAAAAAAGTGATAATTAAGAATTTTAAAATTTTAAGTTTGATCTTTATTCTTTAATAAATATATATATGATGGTGAGAGATTTAAAAAAAATTATTTTGTAAATATTTAATTTAATTTTGATTATAATTTAAAATATTTTATTTAGAAGGAAGTAAAAAGAAAAGAAAAAAAGTATATCAAATTTCATTAAATTATGGTCTTTCCAGTTCAAGAAGTGGTTGATTTTTAAATTAAATTGGTAATTTATTTAATATAATTTATTTCTTGTTATACGTTGAGTTTTGAAAAGAGTTTTATTCTTAATAATTTTTTTTTCTTCTTTGTTACTTAATTAACTTGTAATCACTCTCACTTTAAATAGATGGACTCTAGATAATTAAGCATCTTTAATTTTCTTGATATTTTTTTCTTATATCCTAAATCTATTTGACTTAAAAGAAATAGTCTTTATGAAACTTAAAAAAAAAAAACTAGAACTATATATTTCTCTATAGGGTGACTTTTTTTTTTGTTTCAAGAATTTGTATGTATATTCATACATTCCTTTCTCTAATGTTCTAGGTTGAACTTTATTTTAAGAGCACTTCATTATATAAAAATTAAGTGCATAAAAAATAATATTACAAGTAGTTCGTGCAACAAAATCTAATACAAATTAATCAATTGTATTTATTTTAATCTAAATAAAAACTTATGTTTTAATATTATATAGATAAAAAAATAAAGGAATACAAAAATGAGAATATAACGAGCATAGTCAACGTGCAATTTACGTCGCAAAAAATACTAGTGGATTTAAAAATATAACATTTGAAACATGTAATTAAATTAAGGAGTTAGTTATTTTTATTTTATTAATTTAATTTTTTTTTGTCATGCTTTGGAATTTTTCTGAAAGTAACAAACATCTATTTATTAAATTATTAATTAGTACATTCATTTTAAAATTAAAAATTTAAACTGCGCAACGTAAATTGGATAGGCCATTGGAATTTTTTTCAAATTTTAATTTTTAAATTCTTTTTAATGTCATATGATGACCTAAAAATCACTGAAACTACTTTTTTATTGGCAATTTTATCCTTAATTTCAATTGAGAATGTTATAGCTACAACAGGTTGAAAATGAGTTATAACTGATTGAAAAAATCAAATAGAATAAAATTGCAATAGTTCCTAAAG